CCAAATCCTTGGCCTCCAAACACCTGGCTCTGTCCAGCAGCAGAAGGGATTTTTAGGATTGCACAGACCTAAGCATCTTTGTAGAAAGATGAGGTAGAACCATTCAAGAAGGAAAAAGGGAAGAGGCCAGAGGAAGAGAGAAGGTCAGCTCAACCCCTCTCCCCCCTCATAGGCAACTGACCTAAGAGTTTGGCCAGAAAGACCCAATTCCTAGTAATGGACCCTTTGGTCAAAAATGCAGTAGGTGCTGGGTGGCCCACAGACTGTCAGCGTTCTATAACAGAAGAGAGAACAGATTCGCTATTCTTGGCCCCAGAGGACAAGACTGGGGCCCATGGGTGGACATAACAGGGAGGCTGGTTTCCATTTGATAGAAGGAAGAATGTCTTCACAATCAAGGCTGGCCAGCAAGGAATGGGCCATATCACTGGCAGGCAGGTGTGGAGAGCCGACCAGGTGGGAAGGCGGGGCAGCAAAGTGAGAAGTGACCTGGGCAGAAGGTCGACATCGGTAGACCCGGGGTTGAGGTTAATGAACATGTGATGCCCACATGTGGCCACGGCAAACCCCTCTCCTCTCCAGATCTGTTTCCTCATCTATGAAAAGGCTACTGCAGTACTCTGACAAGTGGTTTCCCAGGATGATTGAAAGCGCTATGTGAGCTGGGCACGTTACCTTTATTAAGGTTTGTTAAGGCTATCAGAGTTGTCTGGAGCCTCCGCATAGCAGGGAGGCGATTTCTCATTGGTTCTTCAGGATTGCAGGAGGGAGAAGCATTCAAGTCAAGCCAACCTTTATTAAGCCCCTACTGCATGCAAAGCGCTGACAGAGATACAATGGTGATCATAAAACAACATGCTGAGGTCCAAAAAGCAGAGGAGGCAGGCTCAGCAGATATTACCATCCCCATTGTACAAATGAAGAAACTGAGGGTCAGGGAGGACCCATGGCTTGCCCAGGGTCACTTGCTAGCGAGCTTAGAGTCCAAATAAAATATATGTATATATTTTTAAAGTTCATGACATAGTTAATAAATGTAAGATCATTTGAGATCAGGTGAGGTGCAGAAATGCCTTTGGGCATGGGGAAAGGCCTGGGCCAAAAGCAATCTCTGCTTCACCCTCATTTCTCCCAGAGTGATTAGCTCTGGGAAGGGGGAAGGGCAACTTCAGGCTAGAGCTCTAAGGGGCCTTATACATCATCTAGGCCAACCCCTTCATTTTAAAAACAGAGGCTGAGGGGAAATGATTTACCCAAGATCACATTGCTAGTAAATGGTGGAGCTAAGACTTGAATCCAGTGCTTTCCCCACCACACAAGGTGCTCCCACTCCCTCTCCCAAAGCATTGCAGCCACAGAGAAGAGGCTGGCATGCCCAGAATGGAACAGACATTTCCAGGAAAGGAGGTCAGGTTGGCCAGGCAGGATGGGGCACCGTTGAGGAGAGTAGAACCAGGGGATTTGCTCCACTCCTGCAGGCCTGAAATCCTGAGAGGAAACTACCCATCACTAATGGGAAAGATGCTACAATAGCAGAACCACTTGCCAAGTTACAGCTCAAAATAGCGATGCCTCCTATTTCAACAAGTTGTCATTTGGGGTGTCAAGACAACCAACCCTAGAACAGCCTTAGTATCTGCCTGCCTTACAGGTTATGCTGAGGATCTCATTTGCCAGGGTCCCTCAGCAAAGTTCAAAGAACCCTGGAGCAGCAGGACAGGACCTCAGGGGCCACCGAGTCCAATGAGGACCTAAGCAGAAAGCCCCTGCAAAGCATCCCCAACCACGCCCTTGGAGACCACGGATGGGAGGGAGACCTTGCTGGTGGGAAGCTCCTCATTCGAGGAAGCTGAGATCTGTGGGCCTACTATTTCTTCCCTTTGTTTATGGTTTTGTCCTTTGGGGTCAAGCAAGACCAGTCTTTCACATAATAACCCTTCCTACCCTTGAAGACAGAGCCCATGCTCTCCCTAAGATTTCTCGAGTCCAGACTCAGTGTCCTCAGCTCCATCAGCCAGTCCTCCTATGGCCTAGTCACCTTCCTCTGGACGCTTGTCAGATTGGCACTAGCCTGGGCACAATATTCCACTTGGGGCCTGATCTGGGTAAAGGACAGCAGGCCATCATCTCCCTCATTCTAGATGCTGTATGTCTATCACTGAATCTGTGTACCTATCACTGGACCACTGCTGATGTTAGTAAGAGCCTTGTCCTCTGCTAGGTTATAGGAGCATTTCAGTATCTATTAACCAGGAAAAAACGCAGCACACCTGAAGCACAGAGCTTTGTCCTAGTGACAAATGAGGGTGAAGCAGAGATTGCTTTTGGCCCAGGCATTTCCTCTTCTCACCTGATGGCAAATGACCTTACATTTGTTAACTATGTCATAAACTTTTTTAAAATGTATTTTAATTGGACTCTAGGCTTGCCAGCAAGTGGCCCTGGGCAAGCCGCATCCCCTCCCTGACCCTCACTTTCCTTTGTCCTAGTCGGCCATGCCCACTGCCCTTTGGGCAACAGCCCAGATATCACTAAATCATCATCAGACTGCATCCCACACCGAGGGCTGCATGAAATAAAATATATAGGACAACAAGGGAACCATTCACATTGAAATAATCTAAATAATACAACAAATAGGTCCTCAGGCCCTGGGTTAAGAGCCTCTGACCTAAACACCCTGAAGTTCCTTGATTGTGGGAGAAGCCAGGTCACAGCCCAGCTCCAGCCCTCCATGCACTGCCAGACTAGGGCCAGGTCCCTGCCCCTGAGTCCCTGGCTCCTCCAGCCTCTGAACTCTAGACTCAGTAAAAGGAAACCCCCATGGACAGTCATCACCACCAAAGCAAAGAGCGAGCTCGGGATTGGAATGGGGACATCCATATTCCTGAGCAGAGCACCCCGGATTGTTTGTGCAGGGGCTCCTCTGTGTCCCCAAGCCTGAGCCAGACTCTACCCCTGGGACCCAGGCTGATTGATCCCTGTGTCTTCTGCACAGCTGAGGAGGTTCCCTGGGGGTCTGGGGATCAAGCCTGGCCTAGGGAGTGCCAGGGGACCAGCTTTCACTGTGCCCTGGGGTGGACTGCCTCAGATGCTGCATGCTCCTTGGGTTCCTCTAGAGAGAAAGGGCACCTCCAGGGCACAGCCTTCCCCTTCAACCTCTGCCTCCCACCTTGGTATTGAAAGAATGTTGGGCTTGAGGTTAGAAGGTCTGAGGTCAAATCTTGGTTCTGACTTTTAGCAAGTGAGAGATATACTCTAGAAAGCCCCACAGAGGCCCAGAGATGTCTTTAGGAGACAGCAGGGGATAGGAAAATAACCTGGAATTGAGGTCAGAAAGTCAGGGTGCAAGCCCCAGCTCCGCCCCTGACCTTTCTGGCTCCCAGTTTCTTCATCCGTGAATGAGGTTGGGCCTCTCCTGACAGCAGCTTGGTCCCCATTCCTCTTGTTGCATAAACTGGTGGGGTCAGCACCCAGCCTGGAAGTGGTGGGCCCAGCGTGCATTCATCCCCACACCAACTTGTCTTTTTGCCATAGCCCCACTCACAAACAAAACAGAGAAGACAGAATCGTCAACAGATGGTCGTATGTCCACATAGGCTCCTGCCAGGCTGAGTCAGACTGGGGATGAGAGAGAAGAAAAGGCAGGGCTGCCAAGAGGATGGGCGCCTGGGGAAGGCCTGGGCAAGGACCAGCGAGGGAGAGCCCAGGCCCTGCAAATGGGGAGTAGACAAGTCGTTCCAAAAGTCTTAGTGCAGTCTGGAGCTGTGAAGGCATAAAGCTGCACCGACCCTTGGGACACCCTCCATGAACCGCCTTCTTGAGGAAGCCATCCTGGATCCCTCTTAACTCAAGCACCTTTCCAATCTATCCTGCACCTACCTTGTTTGTCCATAGCTGTCTGCACGCTGTCTGTCCCATTAGACTGGGAGCTCCGTGGTGGTAGGGACTGACGTTTGCCTTTCTTTGTATCCCCAGCACTTAGCACAGTGCCTGGCACACAGTAGGGGTTTCATAAATGTTTGTTGACTGATAGGACTGTGACAGAAAAGTCTCGGATGCCCGCACTCACCAGCTGAGTTGGACAAACGGCTTCCTCATCTATAAAATGGGGACATTAACCCTTGCCTTCTCAGAGCTGTTGTTGATAAAAGTGCTCAGAAATGTCTCTGGCTCTCCGCTGGCAGAGGCAGCTGCCCAGGAGAGTTTCCATCAGCTTGTTGACCTGACACAAGCCTTAGTACATCATTTTCCTCCTCCGTGGATGGAAAGGAGGGCTCTCTGGTTCTGTGGGTCCATAAGACGTGCTGGAAGACCACGATGAAATTTAAACAGGGATAAATAAGAAGTCTTGCACGTGAAGTGCCTCCCAAAAACCAGGCACCCAAGGGTAAGAGGGTAGGGATGAGGCTAGGCCGCTGGGTGTGGAGAAAAGATGTGGGGCTTCTCACTGCCCCCAAACGTGATCGCTGTCTGGCCCAGGGGAGACGATGGTCCCGCTGTCTTGGGTCCTGCTTGGAGAACACCACCCAGCTCTGGCGCCACATTTTAGGAAGGCCGTGAACAAGCTGGCGCTAGCCTAGAAAAGGGCGGCTGGGATTGGGAAGGACCTGGAGGCCAGGCCCTAAGAGAACGGGCTTTCTCTGCCCTCGCCTACCGGATTCTCTCCTCCGAGATTTGTAAGCTAAACAAGTGTAGTGTTTGGGGGGAGGGAAGGAAGTATACACGTTGTCTTCAAGCACTTGAAGGTGCATTGGCCCAGTGGGTCCAGAGAACCCGGACCAATGGAAGAAAGTGCCAGGGAGGCCAATTTCAGTTCAATGTAAGAGAAAACTCTCTAAGCACTAGACTGCCCAACAGTGGAGCGGGCCGCCTCGGTGGGTAATGAGCTCCCAGTCCCGCGCGCTCTCCCAAGCCCTGGCTCCCAGGAGCGGGGGAGGCCGCCTTGCTCTCTCCCTCTGTGGCTCTGACTAAACCCCAATGCTTCCTTCCCCTTGCAGAGTCGGATGGCCGAGAGCCTGCGCCTCTTTGACTCCATCTGCAACAACAACTGGTTCGTCAGCACCTCCCTCATCCTCTTCCTGAACAAGAAGGACCTGCTGGCGGAGAAGATCCGGCGCATCCCGCTCGCCGTCTGCTTCCCCGAGTACAAGGGCCAGAACACCTACGAGGAGGCGGCCGTCTACATCCAGCGCCAGTTCGAGGACTTGAATCGCAACAAGGAGACCAAGGAGATCTACTCCCACTTCACGTGTGCCACCGACACCAGTAACATCCAGTTTGTCTTTGACGCGGTCACGGACGTCATCATTCAGAACAATCTCAAGTACATCGGCCTCTGCTAGGAGCGCGCTGCGACGGACGGATCCATCTGCCTGTGGTGAAAGCAATGGAGAGGAGCCCACCCCGCTGCTGGTGAAGATCCACAGAGGGCAGCCCTGGAAGGCCAACGAGAAAAGGCGGGGGCGAGGCGGGGAAGTGAGCCACGCTCACGCCTCCCCTCTATTTCCTCGTGCCCCGCATCTTTTGCAGAAGTACATATATATATTCAGATATATAGAGAGAGCTAGATAGGTAGGTAGGTAGATAGCTAGACATATACATATATAAACACATTTGCAAAGTTCCCCAAAGAGGGCTTTCGGAGGCGCATGAAGTATGTTCACTATAGTCACCGTAAGCTCAAGCCATCCACTTCATTTGGCTTTCTTAAGAGCCGCTCCATTCTGTGGAGCAAATAAGCATCCACCTGGCCTTGGGGCCGTCTCACCACCTCGCAGAAGAGGCAGAGTGGTGAGAATGGGCCACCTGCCTTGGGTTTCCAGAAGGAAGGCAAGGCCTGTGGGACAAGACAGGCAAGCAAGCAGAGGCACCCAGGTGAGCGGGGGCTTTGGAAGTCCACACAGGCTCGATGTGGCTGCTTCTGCTCTGCATAGGGCTCACCCCAGGTGCCCTCCACGCCTTCAGAAGCCAACGGCACAGACCTAGCTTAGGGTTCCCAATCTGACTGTCGCCCCCTTGGAGCTGTTTACAAAAGCTTCAAAGACACGTGCATCAAAATCAAACCAGGCCAGAACGGGGCCAGGGATTCTTGTATTAGTCATGAGTTTTCTACGTCCAGATGTGGGCTTTCTTCTTCGACTTTTTTGAGGAGGGTGGGGAGGGCAAATCTTGTGGTGTTTTACAGATGAGGAAAAAAAATTATAGAAAATTGAAAAAAGGCAAATGAGTGTTCATTTTAAAATATGGATTGTAAAAAGAAATCGCACGATAGTTATTTGGCGTGTGTGTGTGTGTGTGTGTGTGTGTGTGTGCACGTGCGCACGTGTGCGTGTGTTTTTCTAAGAGGGCTGTTCGTGTGTTTGGCTTGCTGGGTATAAAACCTACCAATGGGTAGCTTTGGATCGCGGAAGGAAGTTCTGGGAAATGTGGTCAGACTCTACCAGCCTCCTGGGGCTCCTGACCTTAAAGGTGTAGAATATAAGCCCCTACAAAATCCCATTCGCTCCTGCTGAGGTTTGGGGTTCTATTTTTCACTTTTCAAACATAGTGTATTTGATGAAGGTTAATGTGGGAGCTCTGTGAACAATAACTAGATGTGTTGGTGTTTAAAAAAGTAAGTTCTCAGCTCTTCAGTTCAATTAGGGATGGAGGGCAAAGAGACAACTGCATCTCCGGGCTCCCCATTATCATCTCATCATCACAGGCTGACGCTCAGCAGCCCCAATTCCTGTGAAGGCCCAGAGAGTTTGGGTGTCTGATGGAAGATTAAAAGAGTATGTCATGGGGACTCCACCAAGAAACATGCCCTCCCATCATACAGTCCTGCCTTCTGCTATATCCCAACCATAAAAGCCTGTTTTCAGACTTGTCCAGGAAGAAATAGGTGGCACAAATACATGTCCAGCCATTGCCGAAGTGGCCAGCGTAGTGGAAATCTTCACTCGCCCTTTGTTCCCTCCCATGTGGTCCAGGACGAGTGTGAGGATTCTCGGTTAAGGGCTTTCAGAAAGTTGGGAGGGAGGGAAGTGACAAAATCAGGTCAGAGGCTGTCCACCTTAAGAAAATAAAATCATCCAAACAATCCCGGCTGTTTTGTTGGTTTGTACTATATCACGGTGTGCAGCAGCAGGGGGGTCCAGGTCTGGAAAGCTGGGGTCCTAGGGCAAACCGCACTGTGTGCCCAACCACACACAATGGGCTTGTCCAGATTCAAAAGTCCCAGAGGGAAGGGCCAGTTCTACCCAAGGAATAGTGGGCAGAGAGTCAAAAGGAAATGGAGTTTGGTGCTCTCACTATGCCCTGTCCTGGGTACTGTTCCCACCTCCCTAAAGGGGCTGGGTTTAGATTTGATGGGCTGAGTCGGCTCCAGTAAATCAGAACGCTGAGAGAGAGCTTTGAGACTTCCCAAATTATTTCTATAACCAAAAGAAGCCAGCGACCCAGAAAGCACCTCATTCTCGGAGGATTGACAGTTCCACTCAGGAGGCCGCCCCACCCTTCCCTAGCAAGTGAGAGGTATTTCAAGACAGCAGGCAAGCTGACAGCATGCTGTGGAGGAGGCGTGGATCTCACCTGCCCACTCCTCACCAGCTCACACGGGCTGGCACTGCTGTGCACGCAAATGAGCAGCAAAGTTTCCCCAAAGAATTTTAATTAAAAGAAAGAACAAAAATGCTGCCATTTCTCTGGGACACCATGAGTGTGAGGAAATCATACTGAGGCAATCTGGACAGAAGCGCTTCGAGCCAGTCCCTGATGGCAGCGGCGGCGCCCATTGACATGCTAGCTGGCCCCGTTCAGGGCCCGGCTCAGTGCTACCTCTTCCAAGCAGCCTTCTCTGTACCCCATCCCCCCATGGCCTTCAGCCTCTATCTTACAGACCTCAGCTCCCACATCTTCTCACCCATCTAGTGGACCCTTCCGTGTAACTGCCATCTGTGCAGATGACATGGCTCCCTATGACATGATCTATTCCTCAGTCAACCTTTGCACCCACTCCAGCAATGAGCAGAGTTGCCCGCACAAAGGCCCTGCTTTGTAGACACTCCTGAAGTTCAAGCAAAGGCTCCCCACACCTCCCCCAGGGAGGCATGACACTTTAGGAAGAAGTTGGGGGTGGAGGGGGAATTCCAATTCTGCTATTATTTACCTATGTGACCTTGGGCAAGTCACTTGCTAGGTCTCAGTTTCCTCCTCTAGAAAATGAGAGGATTAGACTAGATGATGGTCAAGGCCGCTTCCAGCCCCAAATCTATGATCCTATAAGTATTCATGACTGTCCAGGACAGAAGCAAGCCGAAAACCTTGACCTAGTATTCTTCCCAATTCAATTCAACTCTAACAATTCAGCATTTATAAAGCACCTACTAAGCAAATAGCAGAGCTTTGGAGCTTGCCTTGCAGTTAGTAGGAGCAGCCTACACGGACACAGCCATCTCAGTGCTTACAAAGCCCTTTCCTCACAACTCTCCTGTGACATTGGGCTGCATGGATGAGCAGCTCATCGCCAGGTTATAGATGAGGAAGCTGGTTGGTGAAGGTGTGACTTGTAAAAGGCCACACAGCTAATAAAATAGTATATGCAGGAACTGAACTGTGTTTGGACTCCAACTTCCTTGAGCATTTTGTCAGGATTTCACATTCTACTTTGTTTCATATTTATGGGTGCCCACGTTCTGTTCCCCCAGTAGACTGTAAGCTCCTCGAGGGCAGGAACTGTGCCCTGCTTCATCTCTGTACCCGAAGTGCCTTGCACTTTACAGATGCATGTGGAATGTGAGTTGCTTCCAAATTCAAGGCCCTTCCCACCACCCAACACAACCTCCCAGTTGTTCCCACAATGGTGGATGCTGGAAAAGCCAAATGTTTCCATTAGACGTCCCTGACCTGTTACTCAGAACCACCCTAGAGAGCTCTAGCCATCAAAGGGCCTCCATCCAGCACTTCTGTGCCCCTTCCCTGGCCAGCTAACCTCACTTGCACTGAGCTCCAGTGATCGTGACCACTTCAGCTGTTTTACAAAATATGAGCTACTTCCGATGTCTACACTTTTATGTGTCCTATAACTGTTTCTAGTTCCTATTGATATAAGATTCTGGCAGGCAGACCTGGAGTAAATTTTCATCCTATGAAATTTCAGAGAATGATACCCAGTATTAGAAAGAGATCTTTTCCTTAGCTACACAGCCCTCCCGGATGGGGTGGGGGTGGGAGGTTAGTAAAAATGACCCACAGAAACAATGCCCATTTCCCTCCTCTGCCCTCTGCAGAGAAGGGAGATGCCAGGAGCAGCCCAGAAATAGGTGGCAGCCAGATGTGAAGGAAAGAACCCTAGACTTAGCGGACCATGCATCAGAGAAGTTGGATTCCTCCAGGTGTGGGCTGAATGAGGTTCCTTCAGAGGTCACTCTGAGAACTTGGGAGTGGGAGTCCTGTGACCTGGGCTCGAGCAAAGAACAGCCAGAGGCCCTCCCAGTCCCTTCTATCCTCACACTCCTGCCCAGGAGAGCTGGTGTGACTGTCCATAGAGACTGCTGCGTCGTGGGTACTTGGCATCTGTACGGATGCTATGTTCCCTGCTCCTCCGCTGGGAGCTCCCTGAGGACCAGGACAACAGCCAGTCTGTATCTCCCAAACAGGGTGGTGTACCCAGCAGGCCGTCCCAAGCTAAGGCCCCAGGCAAGGCTACGAGGCTGCTCCCTGAGCACTATCCCAGTGAGGGTGTCAGGACTTGAGAAAGGTTTCTGGGAAGTGGAAGGTCCTGCCCTGCTGCCCTAGTGAGCCCTAAGACCCTCCACTGGCCAGGCTCATAAAGGAATGGCCAGTGGATCTGCACAGGCTCCGGAAGGGAAGTGCCGGGGCCAGAGGACTTTCAGACTGGCTTGGTGTTCTTCCTGCCTGCCTCCCCAACCAGCAGGGGCCACTAAAAATACACTGTGAAAAGGCGACGGGGAGAAGGCTACTTTTGTTCTCTATATGGCACAAGGGACAAGTGAGACAACGGATGTAGCGGCCTCCGATCACAGCAAGGGCAATGAGCTGAGCCAATGGGCCATTCCAGATGCCCTGAGCCTACGAGGCCGAGAGCAGAGCCATCTGTGCCATGGTGCAGGCCCAGGCTGCGATCCATCCCACCACGTTTCACGTTCACTGCCTAATGGCCATGCGTCTTCCCAGGATTCAGCTGACTCTTGTCAGAGGCCAGGTGCTACAGTACAAAGAGCCTGCAGTTGGAGTCTGAAGACCTGGGTTCAAATCCTGACTCTGCCATTTACTCTCTGTGTGACCTGAGACAAATCCTAGCCCCTCACTGGGCCTCAATTCCTTTACCTGTCAAATGAAGGACTTGGGTGATGTCTTAAGAACCCCTGCAAATGAAGAGTGCTAATCTTGTACCCCACGCCGTGCCCCTGGCACAAAGTCTGGTGGCACCCACTGACCCGCCACCATCTGTCCCTATGCTTGCTCTGCTCCAGACGCCAAGGATTCCAGCTTGTCAGACTTTTCCCTGGCCCTCGGTCCTGTCTCTGTCCCCTCTGCACAGCACAGACTCAATCCTCCACTGTCTCTGACAGTCTGGCTCTTCGTTCAAGGTCCGTTCTGGTGCCACTTTCTCCATGAAACATTCCCCATCCTCTGGCTCCTTGGCACTTAAAAGGTTGGCTTCGTCCCCTTCTTCCTCGTGGTGTGTTCATTCGTGCCCATGTCCCGTCTACCTTATTAGATCATCAGCTCCTGGAGGGCAGGGATTGTGGCATTCTTCATCTCTACATCCTTATCACCAAACCAGGTCCCTCAATGCAGGAGAAACTTAAAACTTGTTGATTTGAATTGGTGAGGAATCTCTGTGCACTTAAACAGCCTGACCTTCAGACCACAGACCCAACCCCTTACCAGCCCCTATTTGAAACTTGTCCCATGGAGTGGAACCTGACGGAAATCCCACAGCTCCACAGAAACCAGGGCCAGCTCCTGACCATGCAGAGACATCAGCGTAAGTGAAAACCACCACTAAATTAAACCCCAGTTTCTCCCAGGGTCTCTGCCGGGCCTCATATACATCCTGAGGATTTCTTGTCTGTGCCCCCACAACCATGTTCCACCCCATTTCCTTGTGCCAGGATGGCCTCACTGCCCTGGAAACTGCCAGGGAGAGGACCGTCTAGTGGAACAGGCACTGGCCCCAGACTCAGAAGCTACTAGCAAGCCACAACCTCTCCATTTCACCATCTGTAAAATGAGGCCCACAGTCCTTTAGCTCTCCACCTTACAGGACTCTTGAAGTGAGGGAGTATGACCTACTGTCACTACTGAAGCCAGGGAAATGGGTGCTGCCATGTTGTCCCTGCCCCTGCTGCTGCCTCAGCCTTGGCTCCTCCCTGCATTCTCCACCACCAGCAGCTGCCACTGCTAGATGGGGAAGGGTCCCAATGTCCCCCTTGGCCACTTCAAACAATACACCACATGCATTGGCGGGATCAGGAGCCACCCTGCTCCCTGCTGCCACACGTGAGCCATGGGCCTAAGGGTCCACAACCCTAAGGAGAGAAGGACCATTGTTCATGCTGCTGCCACAAGCCAGGTAGAAGGAGAGAGGAAGGACATATGCCCAGGCTTGTAGCAGCCTCTAGCACCAGACTAAACTACCAGGGGCCAGCAGCAACCACTCGTGAGGACTAGGATGGAGAGGCAGAATTCAGGGGCTATCCAAGCCTCAAAATGCCTCATCATGTTGGGGGCTGCTTCCATCACTTCATCTTTAGGACGTTCATTATCATCAACCCTGGCCCCTACTTCCCTTTTCCTATGGCAAACAACCTGTCCTTTCCTCAGGGCAAGTTCTTCTCTCCCCATACTTTCATCCCTGCCTAGCTCAGTCACTACCCAACTGTCCGAGCCTCTTCTCCTCAACAAACTCTCCTCAATGCTAAGGATCTTCCTCTTGAATTTTCTCCCTTTCAGTATTCATGGGAAGCCACATTTTCTTCTGCCCCCAAACACTCTAGACCACGGAGACTCTAGAACACCCTTCCCCTTGGTCCTCACTGCCACTCATCTTCACTCCACCAAAGCTCCCACTGCCA